TATTCAGATATGTAAACATGAGTGGTCAGGAGAGAGCCTGAAATGGAAGCTCTCTGGAGGCAGGCACCTTGTTCACTGACAGGCATTCTATAGTATCTGCTGAACAAATGAATATCTAAGTGGCAAAGGATACAGTGGTTCATGAGGATAAATTCTAGAAGGACAAAATGAATTTTCGCTACAAAAACTGCCAACTTACCTTTATCTTCTGGTGCTATCTCCTGAGCTTTCTTAAGATCAGCCTTTAATTGGAAAAAAACATTTAAAGAAATATTAGGTATATGATTTATGAAGGTGGTTGTCTATCTTAAAAAAATGAAATTTGTAACAAAATTTTACCAGTGCTTGATCATATTCCTTTAATCCTTGCCATCCTTGAGCTCTGCGATACAGTGCTTTGGTATTTGATGGGTCTATTTCAAGAGCCTACAAAAATTACAAAATTCGTTTTTTATTTAAATGGTAGGTATTAGATATATATGCTTAGATTTCAATTCAAATTGAAATCAACCCTTCATAGCTCTGTGATAATGGAGCAGGACCCTGTAGATCTCTCTGCCCACTGGCACAATTTTAAGTTTTCTCAGTAGAGGGCGCTAAATGGACATGGAAGAGAAAGGTTCCAGTGTGCTGCTCTCAGTAGGCTGCTGCATGGAGCTTGGTTAACAGCACATAGCAACTCCCTACAGGTAGTCCCCATGCACTCCAGTGAGTCCCACAAGTATGGTACCCAGTGAACAACTCTGCACCCAGTGAATCACAGCCATCCCCTCTCCAGTGAGGTCTGAGTCAGTCCAGGGCCCTCCAGAGTTGCCTCTTCCTAGGGGATCACAGCCTAGGGGGAGCAGCTGCTCCTGTATTTTACATATATATAAATAAATACATATCTGCTATTCCCATAACTTTAAATTTTCTTTACTAGCCAATCCCTCATTATTCCAACCCCCTTATTCTCTGTTCAAGTTACTGTATGTTTCTATTTCCTTATTAGGCCCTAACTTCTAAAAGAAAGCCATTTTGAATAAAAACTTGTATACACTCTTTTACTTGAAATCTACAGTATTTTTTTTAGGAGCATGAATAACTTCTAATAGATCTCTCCTCTGAAATAAATGTTGTAAAAATACTAAACATCTTTTAAAGTTCAATTCTCAGATTTTACTGAAAAGGGTATATTATCTGCCTCACAAAGGTTAA